TTTAAGCCCCTCCAAGGGTCACGATTGGTAGCTTTTTTTTTTGTGTCTGTTGCATTGGGTTTACACGTTGACATTAATTTTTGTATGCTGCATGCATGCTAATTTGTTATGCAACGCACAAGTATGGTGTGAGCAGGGCACATAAAAAAAAAATTTCCTTGCATGTTGTCTGCTTTGAAATAAGAGATATACAGTAAGCGTGTATATCTATATATGCGTGTAATATATATGTTCTTTTTTTTTAACCCTAAAGGTGTGTACCACAGATGTGTAAGCCCATCCATAAGAAAGAATATATATATAAAAATAATTAAATATAATTTACACACACACACACGTTTGTAGCAAGTGTGTGTATAATTTTTTTCTTTTAATTGTAGTTATGGCTAATCACTTTAAGCGGATTTCATTTAAATTGATCTAGTAGAAAAATAACACCAAAAAAAGACTCATTCCCCTTTAAATATCAGTCAGATGCCACACTGTGCTGTTACTTCACTTTCACAAGTTTATTGGTGTTTTTTTTGTTCTCTTTTATTTTATTTTTTACACAAATAAGAAGTGCTCAAATGTCCTGTTCACCTATTGCCAAAAGAGAGAGAAAAAGTAGCAAGTCTTCGCAGGACAATGTAGCTTTAACTATTTCATATAAACAAACATTTACAGTTACAAAATTAAAGTTTTCAGCCTTCAAATGTATCCAGATTCTTCTGGTAGAGGTGCAGCTCAGAAGGTGTCCTCTAGGTGGTGCTGTCGGACAAGGTACGCCGCATCAATGGGAAATCCAATGTCTGGGGGACGGGGATACTACAGAACGATATTCACAGTAACGGTATAGAGGTCAGAAATCGCAGCATAAAAGGCAGCTTGTGGGTTTTCTGTGTTTTTCTCAGCTCTGCATTGTTTAAAAAGGGGGTTGCTTTAAAACTTAAGGAATACCTCCACTTTATTTAGGGTTTGGATGGCCTGTTTCCTTACACTTGGAACTCCCATGTACAACTGAAGCAAGTAAAATGAGTTTGCTGATCTCCTGTCCTCTATACTGGTGCTTGTTGTCTCTCAATGGTTGTATTTAAAGTCATTGCAGGCTAGGCATGTGAGATCGGGACTTTAGATTGTAAGCTCCTCGAGGGCAGGGACACTGATGTGATTGTGCACTGTGTAAATTGTCGGCGCTATATAAAATACCTATAATAATAATACCCCAAATCCCATCAGGTGTTATTATACCCAGAGCGTTTATTCCGTTCTCTGAGCGCAGTACTACACATCTACCAGTAGGCGGCATAATGAATACAAAGATTGTAACAATTTTCCGACATTAATTTAGTGCAAAGTTGGCCATAATGGAGCAATGGATTGAAGGCCGCAAAGGTTCTCGAATATAAAGTTAGGATAAGTTAAATGAAATTGCACTTGTGCCTGTGGAATAATATAATTCACAAATGCATAAAATTACAAGGAAGAAAAAAAATAATAACTAAGTAACTATTTACAGATCACATTTTTGCTTTTACCGAGCAAGATGGCATCAAATGGTCAGTGATTTCATGTGATGTACATCTTAAAGGGACAGTAGCATATTGTTTTAGAATATTTGCCAACGTGTAGATAGAGATGCCCCCAGGGACCAGACAAAGCAATCTATTTTGGATGGAGTAGAAAACAGTTGAAACCCTTTTTTTGTCATCTGATAACAGTTAAAGGCAATGACTCCAAAGTGATGTAACTCTTCTTTCTCGTGTATTTGTAGTTTCACAGCCAAAGTGGGATAACACCTATTTTATGTCAGATTACCCGCCCACTGGCTTCCTGATTGGCCGGCAAGCCAGCTCCCTGGTGACGTGGGAGCATGGAGCCGGCTTAACCGACAATCGGGAAGCTGGGCAGTGTGTAATGACTCGCCACCTGGCTTCCTGATACCGGAAGTTCCGGTATTGGGATAGGCATTGGAAGCAGTTGGATGAGTACGAGATACTAGTACCGGTGCATCCCTATTAAAAAAAAAAACGCTTGTTGCAGTCTAAATTGCTTTCAATTGGGGTTAGGGTTTGTTGGTAGCCGTGTAGCAGTTTGTGACCCCTGTATTGTTTTGCATTTTTCGATCGTCCTAAACTATCATTTGCCCGGAGTTCTGCTTTAATAAAACTGCATGCACTGAGCAAAGATGCCAAAAATGGATTTGGGGTTTACTGAGTCCAAGTGCGGACACCCTTACCCGCACATACTGTGTACATCCGCATTCCTCCCATAGGAAAGAACATGCTGTTGCGCATAATCACACGCAGCACCTGTCCCTCCCGGATCAGCCCATTATGGGCATGCACACCGCACGGACATGTACGCCCCATGTGACCGAGGCCTTACACAAATAAAATACATTGTTGTTAATCGTATCACTCGGCTGTAGATCCTCAAATCATCTCTGAATTGGTGCTGACACTGTCCTTCCTTCTGGTGGGCTACTATTGTTCCCCATGGTCCCTGTGTGTGTTGTGGTCACCGCTCCAAGCTCGCTCCTGTGATGGACTACAAATTCACATTTAGTTTACTACAGAATTCAAAAGGATCCAACACCCCAGGGAATCATTGATTCCTTTCCTGGTTAACTGAGCTGATAACTTCTTTTTTAGGATAAATGAACTGAGGAACAAATAATTAATCTTTATTGTATTTATTTGGATAAATGCTTAAAGAGACCCTGTCACTACAATAATGATGGACTACAATCTCCATACAAATGAGTAAACTAAACATGAGATTGTAGTCCATCACAGGAGTGAGCTTGGAGCGCTGACTACTTGACAACACACACAGGGACCATGGGGAACAAAAGTAGCCCCCCTCCAGAAGGAAGGACAGTGTCAGTGCCAATTCAGAGATTATTGAAGGATCTACAGCCGAGTGATGCACAAATAAGATACATTGTTTTAGGTAAGTCCTCACACTACAGAGCTATCGGTTCATTTTCCTGATCTTATCCGATTTCAGCAAAATTAAAAAGGTGGTCATGCATGGTGACACTGGGGGTGCTTCTAATATTATAATGATGAGCAGTACTCTGAGGAGCAGTGTAATGGAGGCACTATAAATTAGGGGGGTGTCTCACTGACCACCAATGTGAGGAAAGCTTTGGGGACAGTGACAACCAATTCTGGATTTTATCACCATATCAATAGCCACACCCTCTTTAGGCCATGACCCCTTTAAAGATGTTCCCTTTATGGTTTTAAAGTAGATCTGCACCTCTCTGGGGTTGCCTTTAATGTTCTAACCCAAGGGTAGGCAACGCCAAATCCCATCATAGCTTTGCCTCCGGCAGTCCTGACTGTCAAAATCTTGCAATGCCTCATGGAATTTGTAGTTCCACAACAGCTGGAGTGCCACGGTTGCCTACCCCTGGCTCCAACACTTCCATACAAAAACTAAAGGTTTGGCTGGAGTTTGACTTTCAAGGTTTGCAACAAAATATTCAACTTCATCAACTGTTTTCTTTCCTATCCCGTTTCCTTGTTCTTGTACAGACTCTGGATTGTATCACTTATTCACCATGTACATTCATTACACTTTTGGCCTAACTAACTTACACTTGTGATTTGGCTTCCTGGCGGACAGAACAATAGTCGGACTCTGCTTTGGGGGGGGAGACAAAAAGGCAACACATACCAGAGTATAGGCGAACGGTCCTCTGTTTTCATTCCGGCACGGCTCTCTGGAGCCATAGCCTATTCTGTGATCCCTTTTTAAAACCTAAAAGCTGCAAATTGGCACAATCCGCATTTTGAAGTGTTAATGTTGTAGAGTCGCTACACATAGAGGCTCATCTGTATTAATGAACATTTGCTCGTCAATAATGATTAATGCTGGTGCAAACACAAATCTAAACTGCTCCAAATCAGACTGCTGTCCAGGGCGACCAATTAGATTGCAGCTAGAATTTTTCCAGTGATGGTTATATATAAAAAAAACAGCATCTGATTGGTTGCTAAAGGAGCCTAGGTAGCTCTGCCTGAGAAAAGCATGCTACAGTTCTCTTTACTTTAGCCATACATGTATCCTGTCCCTTCGGAAACCTTTTAACAATAAGGACGTTCTTTTGTACAGGTCTCACTGCTTTAATCCACTCTGGATGAGAGACCATTTTTGGTCCGCCTGCATTGTGGTGCGCAGTCAGCTGGAACTGAGGCCAGCATAGACGATGACCACTTTTTCTTTATCTGCTGGCCTGCAGCCTCTAACAGACCTGCGGTAAATCTCCAGGAAGTGACCTTAGGGCATTACATGATACTACCTGGAGTGGGAAGGCAGAGTCTGTTAGGAAGAAGAAATGGATGCTTGGTATGTAATGTTGCCAATATATTCTTAACTTTAGGATACAGAGTGATAGTTCCAGCACTAATATGTTGGTCTTTGAATAAGTGGAAATTTCCCTTCCACAGTTGAAATACGTATATAAATGAACTGTCTTGCCTGCCATCCAGTTTGCAGTTCTGTTGCACCATTTTTGTGATTCACATACCCCCTTGATGACTGGTTCAGCTTTAGTTCTTTCTGTGTCACAAATGCATTCATTGTAGAGGCTGGAGGCTTCAAAGTGAACGGGGCAATGCTAAAATCACCTGCTTGGCATGTATTATGTGAAGTGTGAATCACAAGAATGGCCAAACATCATTGAAAAGTACTTGGCAGCTGCTTGTGTGTATTTACCCCCATTTGCCTAACGTTCTCCTTTAAGTAGTAGCCTCCTAAAATAACCACCTACCATCACTACAGGAGCAGTATGGTATTTGTGCCACAATACAATAATTTCCTTAAAGCAAAAACATCTAAACCAATGTCCTAAAAAAAGAATATCATTCTATTTAGTTCTTAGACACAATACAGACATAGGAACTGACGGTTTCCGTTGGTAAATCGGAAAAAAAATACAGTGCGTATTACTACCCTGCAGGCTTCTGTCACTTTCAGGTGACGATTCTTAAACCCCTCAGACCCGGCTGATTGGTCCAGGGTGGGTCAGTTAGGTCCAGTCCGATATTTACATATTTGAATCGTGGTGCTGATCAGACGACGCTTAGTCTGCTATATTTCCGCAGAGTGATGTCGTCACAATGTAGTCTCCCCCATATGGAGACCGAAAGCTGGTAAATCGAAAGAGTCCTTTCTTAATTTTGGGTGTTCACAGTAACACTGTTACGGTTGGAGGCCCCAACGCTTGTGCAAGGCCCCCTGTCAGTAGGGGCTTTGAAGCAAGATGGTGGTCTGGATGGATTGGGGAGTTGGGAGACTCTCACAGTTTTGGCACGCAGTCCATCTGCCGAAATCCTCTCTCTACTGGATGCCTCGAAACAAACACATGGCAAATATCATGGCGAAGAGCTGCGGATCAGAAAACAAAATAGAAAAGTAATATAAGCTTTAGGAAAGTTAAAAATGGCATGTACTAAGCAGATTGAAAAGTACATCATATGATTAAAAGTTTGTGAACACCTGACCGTCACACCTATGTGAGCGCGTTGGACATCCCATTCCAAAACCATGGGAATTAATATGGACACCTGACCGTCACACCTATGCGAGCGCGTTGGACATCCCATAACAAAACCATGGGAATTAATATGTAGTTGCCCCCCTTGGTGGCTATAACAGCCTCTACTCTTCTGGAAAGGCTTTCCTTAAGACTTTGGAGTTCATCTGTGTGAATTTGTCAGATACCAGGTGACCACTGTCAACAGGAACTGTAAGGTTATATTTGACATTCACTATTCACTGCAGGTGAAACTTACCGGTGCCTGTTCCTTGCTCTATAACTACATTCCTTGCTCTATAACTACGCCCCTAAGCGAGGGATAATCCAAACTTTTGAGTTGTCACCGACACAGGAACTTGGAAGAAATCTTCCAATGGGACATTTGTTTTGCTGACCACCATTTAAGGGCCTGTGTCATTAAACTTTATGCTCATGTCAGACAGGTTTTCCATTCCCACACCAGTCTATAGGAATGCAAAACGTACTAGTTGAATGCAGCTCAGAAGGAGGTCAACTACAGGTGAAACGCACCTGTCAATGAATTTTGAAGGATCTCAGAAGCGTGTCGAACTGATGCCATTGACACAAGCCCTGAGAGAGGATTGCCTTTATTTTGGAGAGATTTGTTCTTTCGCCCTGTTGTGTCTATGGGATAGGAAGTGACAACTATTCTCTCCATGGGTCCCGGGCAGAAAAAATAAAATCGAACTACTGCCCTTTCCTTTCAATCTGGTCAGCAACCATCACCAAGCAGCTCCAGAAGGAACACAGCTTGACTGGAACAACCCATCACAGCTTGGAAACTCAAGTTAAAGTTGGGTTGTCTCAATAGCAGTGTTGGGCAAGGCATAGAGAGAGGGATGCTCTAATCCCGCATCCAGCCCAAGTTCTACTTTTTTGGTGCTCAGCAACAGTCCTTTCTCTAAACTAAATCCACACTAAAGCCGGCCACGCACCTATAGATTATCTGCAGATTTTCTATGGTCAGATGGAAAAAGTGCAACAGATTCCTCCATCTACGCTAAACTGTGTACATGGAGGAATCTTCCACTGGGCCAACCTTCAGTAGCTTGCTAGTCGGCCCCGCTGGCTCTCAAAATACCTGAACATGATTGGATGCAGGCATTATTCAGTTGTTTTGAGAGCCAGCGGGGCCGACCAGCAAGATACTGAAGCTTGGCCCAGTGGGGAGATTCCTCCATCCACACAGTTTAGCGTAGGTGGAGGAATCTGTTGCACTTTTTCCATCTGATCATTGAAAATCTGCAGATAATCTAGGTGTACATGGTCAGCTTTAGAATGACAAATGCTGCAAAACTGGTAATATGTTGCGACATTTGAGATTTTGACCAGAGTTCCACTTTAATAATTGCAAACATTCCAAAAGAAAAAAAGTTTATATCTGATCTGTCACTTTTTTTTTTGAGCATTGCTTGGAGGGATGGTATTCTGAGGTAACATTACTATTCATAGTACCAGATGGAATATGGAAAGAATATTGATAAAAGGGCAGTTACCACAGCAACCAAATTTCTCCAACAGTTAGAGCGAAAATGCTGATTGGTTATTGATGGCTGTGGCTTACAGCACGCTGCTCTTTACCTTTTTCAATAAGCTTACTGACACCATTTGATTTGCAAGCACGCCCTAGAACAGAGACTGCTAAGGTCTTTCAGCCCGAGTGCCCAAACTGCAATGCAAAATCAATTTATTTATCTCAAGTTTGGTATTGTGTTTTAGTTTGGGCACTGGGGTTTAAAAAACGTTTAGCGTCCCTGCCTTAGGCAAAATCAGGAAAACACACATATTTGAAACATTTTATTTTTAAATTTATCGCTTCATTATTTTTTACGTCTTTAAATTTTTATTTAGCTTCTTTTACTTTATTTTTTATCATTTTTATTGATTTTATTCTACTTTATTCGATTTTATTCTTTTCTACTTTATCACTTTTTTAATTTTAGTTATTTCTTATTTTCTACTTAATTTTTTTTTTTATACTCTTAACTTTATTGCCATCACACAGGAGATAACAAGCCCCTGTGTGAGAGCATTTTGTGGTGACGGGTTCTCTTTATTGAACCTGTCACCTCCAATACAGGAGTTTTAGCACAGCGCTGTGCTGGCTCTCCTGTGACGGCTCAGACAGGAAGGCTGTATATGTACAGCATTCATGTCTCAGTGTTCACACGGAGGAGAGCGAAGAACGGACATTGTAAGCACTGCTCCCCAGCCTGAACTACTTCCCCCAGAAGAGTGGGGATCCAGAAAACCGCGGGGAGGGAGGCAGCTGGTGATTAGAGGCAGCAGTCGGAGGGGAGGTGTAGACCATGGGGGGAGAACTGACCTGCAGACTGCATACAAGTGATCTCTGCAGCATCGCTGAGATAAATTTTATTAAACAAGCGCTGGCTTCCATGCTCTACATTTAGCACTGCTTGCCTGATGCAGGGCTAAATGTAAAAAAAACTACGCGTCAGGCGTTACGAATTAGACACCCCTGCCTAGGCTTGTGTGACACCAGAGGGGCCTCTCTAGAACATGTTCCATAGGTTCGCCACCGCTGCCCTAGAAAACCTTGCATTTTGCAAATAAAAAAAGAACAGCTAGAGTGCCACCTCCTGGCCAGAAGAAGTCACTGCACGTTTATGCCATTGATTGCTTTGTCTATAACCAACCGTTCTCAATCTACTTAACATGAAAGGACCCTTGAAATACATTCAAGGGTACACCTGGGAACACCTGCTGATAACTACATTATCTACAACTCATGGCACAATAGCATGAAAAATAAATATAGTGTGGGAGAACATCTCAATATGGCATTTGCGATTCAAAATGGCTTCAAAGCATAGAATTTAAGGCTTGGCATATCCATATACCGTATAGGCTCGAGTATAAGCCGTCCCGAATATAAGCCGAGGTACCTAATTTTACCACAAAAAACTGGGAAAAAGTATTGACTCGAGTATAAGCCTAGGGTGGGAAATGAGGCAGCTACTGGTAAATGTACAAAATGAAGATAGATACCAATAAAATTACATGAATATTTCAAAGAAAAACAATAACCTAGCTCTGTAAGTGGAAAAGGGGGTACAGGGCTACATATCATGTACTACGGATCATTTAAACCATTCATATTAGCAGAGGATAATTGTAAATCTATTGTTCAGTGCATTCTATATGTAGTATATAGTACATGTACATATAGAGTGCCTGCAACAATACATTTACAATGATCCTCTGCTAACATGAATGGGTTAAATGATCCATGGTACAGGGCTACATACAGATCATTTAATACATTCATGTTAGTATAATTGTAAATGTATTGTCTGCACTGTATTAGCAGTATAAACTCCATATAGAGTATATACTGCTAATACAGTGCAGACACTACATAATTGGTTACCGTAATAAATCCCCCCAAATCTCCCCTCACTCAGTGTCCGTGTGTCGGAGAGAGCAGGGACGAGTCAGCGGCGCGCTGGTCCAGTGGGAGGAGCTCCAGGTGGGGTCCTAATTTAGCTGACTTAGAGGTGCCTGCCCGCTAAATTACAACCCCACCTGGAGCTCCTCTCGCCTGACCAGCGCGCCGCTGACTCATCCCTGCTCCCCTGCTCCTGACTGGCCACTGCAGGGTTTTTTTTTTCTTCTAAATTAGGACCCGGAGACTGCCAGATGACCCCGCTCGGAGCGCCGCCCACCGGAGCAGCAGTGACGCGACGCTCGGCGAGGTAAGTAAGAAGAAACCTGACCACTGGACCACGCTGACTCGAGTATAAGCCGAGGGGGGCACTTTTCAGCAAAAAAAATGGGCTGAAAAACTCGGCTTATACTCGAGTATATACGGTACTCATTTTAACCAAAATTTGGGCTTGAGACACGGTGACAAGTTATGGAATGTGTGAAGTTCCAGACAAGTTGTGATCAAATCAACTTATGACCAAAATTACAAGCATGAGATTATCAAGACTATCAAGAAGAGAAATCCACTTGACGTACCTATAAAGCACAACTACATCAATCCTATAAAAAGAACTGTTCATTTCAAGTGAAGACTGAACTTTTTGCAAGTGTTTTCACCCTCCGTTCTTAGAAATTTAGCCTTTTAGCTTTCTGTTTTGACCTTCTATATTATCTGTTGAGCTTTGTATAACATCCTCCCCCCTTCTCTCTAGATTATCTTAAAAAAACCTTCATGTGCCGTAATAAATCAGACCAGCTTATAGCAGACTTTGATGTGTGTGTGTGTGTGTGTGTAATTTGAGCTCACTGGTTAATGGGGAAAGCAGGTGATTTGCCCATGCATTCCAAATTTATTTCCACGAAAAAAGACTAAAAATGTGGCTTATTTTTGCATATTTTTCCACTTCTCTATATGACATTTTAAGTATTAACATAAATATTATAGACCAAAAAGGAATGCAGAGAGTGAAAGCCGCAGTGTTCCCTGACATACAGGTATGTGGTCAGTAAAGTGTCCCCTTACACTGGCTGTCAGTGGCATGCTCCTTCTAATTGGTGGTCAGTGGGAAAAGGGCCCCATTACACTGGTGGTCAGTGGGAAAAGGGCCCCATTACACTGGTGGTCAGTGGGAAAAGGGCCCCATTACACTGGTGGTCAGTGGGAAAAGGGCCCCATTACACTGGTGGTCAGTGGGAAAAGGGCTCCATTACACTGGTGGTCAGTGGGAAAAGGGGCCCATTACACTGGTGCTCAGTGGGAAAAGGGCCCTATTACACTGGTGGTCAGGGGGAAAAGGGCCCCATTACACTGGGGGTCAGTGGGAAAAGGGCCCTATTACACTGGTGGTCAGGGGGAAAAGGGCCCCATTACACTGGGGGTCAGTGGGAAAAGGGCCCTATTACACTGGTGGTCAGGGGGAAAAGGGCCCCATTACACTGGGGGTCAGTGGGAAAAGGGCCCTATTACACTGGTGGTCAGGGGGAAAAGGGCCCCATTACACTGGGGGTCAGTGGGAAAAGGGCCCTATTACACTGGTGGTCAGGGGGAAAAGGGCCCCATTACACTGGGGGTCAGTGGGAAAAGGGCCCTATTACACTGGTGGTCAGGGGGAAAAGGGCCCCATTACACTGGGGGTCAGTGGGAAAAGGGCCCTATTACACTGGTGGTCAGGGGGAAAAGGGCCCCATTACACTGGGGGTCAGTGGGAAAAGGGCCCTATTACACTGGTGGTCAGGGGGAAAAGGGCCCCATTACACTGGGGGTCAGTGGGAAAAGGGCCCTATTACACTGGTGGTCAGGGGGAAAAGGGCCCCATTACACTGGTGGTCAGTGGGAAAAGGGGCCCCATTACACTGGTGCTCAGTGGGAAAAGGGGCCCATTACACTGGTGCTCAGTGGGAAAAGGGGCCCATTACAGTTGTGGTCAGTTGGAAAAGGGGCCCATTACAGTGGTGATGAGTGTAATGCTGTTTCCAATTGGTGGCCAGTGGAGAAGGGCCCCATTGCACTGGTGGTCAGTGGGAAAAGGGCCCCATTACACTGGTGGTCAGTGGGAAAAGGGCCCTATTACACTTACCGTTCCTTACATTGGTGATCAGTGGGAAGAATTCTTCCTTACAAGCTAAATTTGCTATACAGATCATTGGTGTCAGTGGTTTTGCGGATTGCTCAAGGAACCCCTAACAACGTCTGGAGGAACCATGGTTGAGAAAGAGTGCTCTATACACAGCTAAAGCTCTTACCTCGACAGCCAAGACTCCGATGGCCAATGCTCCAGCACTATATACATAAGGCTCCAAGGAACTGAGTATTGTGGAATAACAGCCCTAGAGGAGAAACCACAAAATGTACAGAAGTGTTACCCTTCACCCTTGGGTTGCATGAAAGTTCTCTGACATTTGACACGAGGAAAGGTCATAAATGGGCCTTCTGCAGCAAGCCCCTTCTTTACCTTTACTTATTTTCCCTACATCTGATTATTCACATTTACAAGCACACTCATTAAATATCCAGATTCTAAAAAGTGGTCCAGTCTTCGCTGGTTCTCTCTAAAGAGAACCATTCAAGGTTGAACACATCCATGAATTCAAACTATTAGGGGACCCTGTGTGGCCCCGAAAGCGCTTGATTCTACTTTGAGTGACTTCTGAAAAATAATAAAATGAAGATTCACTGAAATTGACGTGTTTGTCATGCTGGTGACATTTCTTTACAACCTGTCCTTAAAAGAGCACCTGTCAGCTATACACCGCGTGGCCAGATTATTATGACCACCCCATCAGTACTTCGTTGGGCCACCTTTTGCCTTCAATACTGCGGCGATTCTTCTTGGCATTGACTCCACGAGATGTTGAAAGGTGATGCGAGGAATCTGACACCGGGCCTGATGAATAGCACTGTCCAGTTCTGTGAGATTTGATGGTTGTGGAACTAGCTGCCTGATGGCTCTTTCACCTTCGTCCCACAAATGTTGAATTGGATTGGGATCTGGCGATTGTGGGGGCCACCTAAGCAAGGTAAAGTCTTCCATGTTCTTGAAACCACTCCTGCACAATACGAGCACCGTGGCATGGCGCATGGTCTTGTTGGAAGAAGCCATCTGCATTGGGATAAGCCATCAACATGATAGGATGAACTTGATCAGCAACGATACTTTGGTATGTTGTGCTATTCAGACGTTGTTCCTCACGAATTAAAGGGCCCAAATCATGCCAGGAAAACATGCCCCGAACCATAACACTGACCCACCAGCTTGAAGGGTTGTACTCACGCATGTGGGGTGCATGCTTTCATGCTGTTTCCGCCAAATTCTCACTCTGCCATCTGCATGATGCAACTGGAAACGTGATTCATCGGGCCACATGACCTCCAATGCTCGACTGTCCAATCCTTGTGTTCCTGTGCGAATTGGAGGCGTTTTATCTTGTTAACTGCAGACAGCAAAGGTGTTCGAACCGGCCTTCGGCTTCCATATCCCATACAATGCAGTGTACGGCGAACAGTGCGTTCAGAGATCATTTGAGAGGATCCCTGATTAAGATCTGCAGCAATTTGATGCACTGTTGCCCTTCTGTTGTCTTGTACCAGTCTTGCCACTCTCCGTTCTGCCCTAACATTGACTAGTCTCTGACGGCCACAATTCGCACGTTCAGACCCAGATTTTCGGCTGACAGTCCGGTCTTTAAACACTTTAACAACAGCTGCTCTTGAACATTTAACTGATTCTGCTGTTTTGCTGATACTCGCTCCATGGGAGGCGCCAACAATCCCACGTTCAAAGGCTGTTAAATCGCGTTGTTTCCCCGTATCTTCAGAAAAAAATCACTTCTACTCTCGTGGTAAACAACCTGCTTCCCTATTTATAATGGTCTGGCCCTCTAGCAACTTCAGCGCCAAATTATAGCTAATTTGCCTGCAAACGTCAGGTGGTCATAATAATCTGGCCACTCAGTGTATAGCCATCATAGAGGCTAAATTAATGCTCAGCCTATCAATCCACAATGAAGGTGATCGCATAAAGGTACATAGCACCTCACCCATCCCTACTGACACTGCTTGCTGAGAAATTTGTCACCTTTATTTTGTGCAGCCCACTAAATGGATTCTGTCATTATTTGCAGGAGACAGGTACACTTTATCATATCGGACGGTCTTTACCTGTCTGTTCAGGTCGATACCCAACATGCACTCTGTTTTGCTCAGGATCTCCGACTCTCTTCTCAGGATGTTCCTCCGGCAGCAAGCTTCAGGCACTGCGTTGTGGGAATGGGCCTTAAAGTGCAAGGTGTCCCCAAAATCTTCAGGGCCGTTCACACCACAGCATTCAAACTGCAAGAGAAAGCAGCAGCGGGTCACTGAAAAATGTGAAACAAAATTGCAATCTAGGTGGCAGATACAAACACAGTCAGAGAGCAAACAGTCCAGCGCTAAGTGCACCCATGGCATCCAATCAGAATCCATCTTGTACTTGTCTTGTTGAGTGGTTGCTTTTTTTTTCTGTGGTTAGCTCCTTGTGCTATTTATTGAATAAGTCTACCAGTGTTCATGAAAAAGAGCTCAACAGGTCCAACAGTGTTAAATTAACTGCACCGTACATGTTATTTATTTACAAAAACAAACATTTAAAAAACATAGTGCAGGACTTTGTGCAGCTTTGCTCAAGGGAGATATATGCTGTAAAAGGACCCTGGCGGCGCACACACAGCTGCATAAGTCACAGAAGAAGGGCACCCCTCCATATGTGTCCTAGAAGAGTTAGGAGTCAGCTACACTAGAATGCCACACACACACTAAAGCAGGGGTCTCAAACTCCATTCCCTCGGTGGCCACTCGACAAATTTTTTTTCTCCCATGGGGGCCGCTTGCAAAATTTCATACTTTAAATAAAATGTAACTATATCTGGTTTGGTACTACAGACCCTAATACACACACAATAAGGCCCCAATAATATCTGTAGGTTTAGGTGCAATTAGGGATTCCTGCATCAGAAACTTGCATTTTCCTGCAGCAGGAATCACTGATTTGGTGTTTACAATCGGCAGCTGTCACCCATTCAAGTTAATGATCAGGTGAAAGCAGTTGCATGTAAACTCCTGCACACCACATGTAATGGTATGTGATATGATTACATGCGGTTAGAAAACACTCTCCCTGGATGCACAATCATTGCGTCCAGGGAGAGTGATTGATTTCTAACTGAATGTAATCATATCACGTATCATTACATGCGGTGTGCAGGAGTTTACATGCAACTACTGTCACCTGATCATTAACTTGAATAGGTGACAGCTGCCAATTGTGAACGCCAGATTAGGGATTCCTAACTGCAGGAAACGCATGTTCCTGATGCAGGAATCCCTAATTGCACCTAAAGCTACAGGTGTGAATGGAGCCTAATACACTTCTACTCCCCCCCATACACATGAAAAAATACCCCTACATACATACATACATACATACATAATACACACATAATACATACAGACATAATACACACACACACAACCAGTCCCCCACACACACACACACATATATATATATATATATACACACAGGTGAAACTCGAATAATTAGAATATCGTGCAAAAGTAATTGCAGTAAGTGCTGCAAAAGGGGCCCAAACCAAGTACTGAGTACATATGCATGCTTGTACTTTTCAGAGGTCCGATATTGTTCTATGTACAATCCTTGTTTTATTGATTGCATGTAATAATCTACTTTTCTGAGGTTGTGAATTTGGGGTTCTTGGGGTTTTCATGAGCTGTAAGCCATAATCATCACAATGATGACAAATCACGGCTTGAATTATCTTGCTTTGCATGTAATGAGTCTCTCTCATATATTAGTTTCACCTTTTAAGTTGCATTAGTGAAATAAATGAACTTTTGCACGATATTCTAATTATTCGAGTTTCACCTGTATATATAATTCCCAGCCCCCCACACACACACACACACAACATATAATATAATCCACAGTCTTACACCCCCCCACATATATAAAATAGTACAACTCCCAGTCCCTCCCTCGCACACCCACATGTAAAATAAATGTGGTACAGAGCCCCGCTCCTGCTTACCTAGTTGCAGGGAGGAGGCTGTGAGCCACAATCATCGATCCCTGGTGATCTAGTGGTCGATTGATAAGGTCTGCTGCAGACCTTACTAATCAATCTTCAGGATCCGAATGCCGCCACAGAAGCATCCGACAGAGATGCAGACCGTGTAGCTGCTCCCGCGAGTCTGGTACGCAGTCCGTGACCGCGTACCAGACTTGTGAGCTGGCTGTGGGCCACACAGTACCGGCTCGCGGGCCGGTACGTTGAGACCACTGCATTAAATAAATCAGTTTCACATTTTGTGAAGTTAAAATGAAGTTGAGCAAATCACATTTCTTGTAACTCCTGCGCCCATGATTGTAACTATGTATAGGGGTGCGCAAATCATGATAGAAGGTTATTATACTCACAGTACTCATGACGGAGTTCCAGGTGGATGTGAATATGTCCGTACTGTTGTTCCCCTGATAATGCTTCTTCAGCTCCTTGGTGAAATAGTCTCTGGTTAGCTGCAAAGGTAAAAAATCAGAAGATCAGAAACGGTCCCGATATTCAGATTCGCCGTGAGATGACTGGAGGGGCAGACTGAATGCAATATTACCCGGATCCATGGATGACACGGATCGGAAAAAAGCAGGTAGATCTCGGGCAATGCAAGATCACCACTACGGACAAGGTATTTTACCAGTATGCAACTGTATCATGTGTTCAGCATATAGCTAATTGCACCTGGGCAGCATGGTGTGAATCACGTCGTTAGGACGTCAGAGGAGGAGGTATTAACTGCATTGTGATTGGTGGTTTGATTTTGTTTCACCTGTATTTATTGTTTGATTTTGTTGCTTGACCCACTCTCTGTTTGCCTGAGGACAGGACCGCATGGTCTCGAAACGTCGCTAAGGAGATGTGTGTTATCTCAGTCAATAAACAGCATTGACTTTAATATCATGGAGTGCGAGTGACTACTTTCATCTATCTACACTTCACGGAGGCATCCGTTGTCACTACCCCACCCACCCAGTTGGATTTGGGTTTTTGTCCGGTCAGGAGTGCGATGGGACAGGAGGATTAAGTGTGAATGCAATATTAAACCACTTACATTATTCTCCGCCCCTGTCCTTGCTACCTGGTATTTAAAACAAATGATATCCCGTCATTCCTGATTCCTAAAATACACTGGCGGCCAACTCTTCTCAATAGCTAATGTTCACTCTATCCCTGTGCTCAGTATAAATACACATCAGCATATGTTTTTTCTCAGTGGCTGGTGTAAGAGCATATACTACTTCTCAGTGGTTAGTAAAACAAGAACACCTGACCAAATTCTGACATACAATACGGGTGTCCTAGATATCAGCTAAATAGACAAACCGCCATTAACCACCCAGAATGCCTTGCGACCAGCTGGTGGACTGTAAACTGCTTATGTCTGTTCTGATAAAACACAGATGTCCCGAGATGGATACAGTTGGATGGTGAAAACCCACAGACATTACAAACACTACAAAACACAGAGCAGGCGCCACCTCCTAGTGCAGTATGTTTATTGACCAAATGATGAAATTAAAAAAAAAAAAAAGTAAAAAAAAAGGTTCTACTCACTATTCCTAAAGGAAACCAGGCATATCAATAACAGAGTATAGTGAACGCAGTATAGTGGTAGGTGCACCCCAATGGGGGGGGGGGGGGGG